TTTTGATCTTTTTATTCAATTGATTTTCTACTTCATTCTTGTATTGCTTAAATGCTTTAATTGCTTCATCCTTACTATTGAGCAAATAAACATAACAATATCTAGTGCAATCGTCAATAAAAGTAATAAAATACTTTTTCCCACCTCGAGATGGTGTCGACTTCATATCGCAAATGTCAGTATGAATTAAGTCTAAAGGATTTGAATTCCTTTCAACAGACTTATAAGGATGTTTTACAAACTTAGATTCAACACATATTTGACATTTCGATTTATTACACTCGAATTTAGGCAATACTTCTAAATTAATTAACTTCCGCAAGGTTTTATAATTGACATGTCCTAAACGAATATGCCATAAATCATTTGACTCCAATAAATAAGAAGAAGCTGAAATTTTATTCATACTGTCAACAACCATTACATTGAGTTTGAAAAGGCCCTCCGTGAGGTAGCCTTTTCCAACATACATTTCGTTCTTGCTTACAACAACTTTATCAGAAACAAATACACATTTGAATCCATTCTTTACAAGTAAAGAAGTAGAAACTAAATTCTTCCTAATAGTAGGAACATGAAGAACGTTGTTGAGCGTTAACACCTTGCCGGAAGTCATCTTCAGGAATATCTTCCCATAACCTTCAATCTTGGCTGTTGCATTATTTCCCATGGAAATTTCTTCTTCGGGACCAGCAGTAGAGTAAGTCGCAAATGCTTCTTTGACAGCACAAACATGTCGAGTGGCTCCAGAGTCAATCCACCACTCCTTCGGATTTCCAACTAAGTTGCATTCCGAAAGCATTGCGCAAAGATCATCAATGTCATTATTCTTCTCCACTATGTTGGCTTGTCCCTTCTTCTTATCCTTTTTCGGGAGACGACAATCAGGGCTTTTGTGACCGACTTTTCCACAATTGTAGCAGCTGCCCTTGAATTTCTTTTTGTTCTGCTCCTTAGTTTGTCCAGAAGACCTCTTCCTCTTCTTACTTTTTGGAGCAGTCTCTTCAACGATATTAGCTCCCATGATCGTTGAATTTCCACGAGACTTCTTCTCGGCTGTTTTGTTGTCTTCCTCGATCTTTAGACGTATCACAAGATCTTCCAACTTCATTTCTTTGCGTTTGTGCTTCAGATAGTTCTTGAAATCTCTCCACGAAGGAGGCAATTTTTCAATCATAGCAGCTACTTGAAATGCTTCATTCACGACCATACCTTCAGCTATAAGGTCGTGAAAAATAAGTTGAAGCTCCTGAACTTGGGTTCCCACAGTTTTGCTGTCTATCATTTTATAGTCTAGAAACTTGGCAACCACGAACTTCTTCAAGCATGCATCTTCTGTCTTGTACTTCTTCTCAAGTGCGTCCCATAATTCTTTCGAAGTATTCATTGCACTGTACACATTGTACAAGTCATCTTCTAAAGCACTTAAGATATAGCCTTTGCAAAGAAAATCTGCCTGCTTCCATGCCTCAACAACCATGAACTTTTCATTATCCGGCATGTCCGCAGCAGGCACTGGAGGCTCTTCACTAGTGAATTTCTGCATACCAAGTGTGGTAAGCCAGAAGAACACCCTTTGCTGCCATCCTTTGAAGTTGGTTCCAGAAAATTTCCCCGGTTTCTCAGCCGGAGGAACAGCAGTGCGGCTTGACGAGGCTATCGTCGTTGCACCAACAGTCGCAGAAGGATTTCCATTTTCATTTGCCATTTCTTACTGTCAACAACAGAAGAAATCAATTAATGGCAAAACCAAAACAGTAAATAATACTGTAATCAATAAACAGTACGTAATAAAAACAACTAAGGTTTTTATATACTGTTTTACAGAAAAACGATGAAGTTTTTATGTTCTTCAAATCGTTTTCTGAATTTCAATACCCTGATGAAGTTTTTATATCTTCAAATCAGAATAGTAAAATTCAGACAGAATACAGAATATAATAAAAATAATTTCCTTAAGATTGTTATTTATCTGTATTGTTGAAAATAAATTAAATAATAATCTTTCCGAAAACAAAAACAGAAAGTTAATAGAAATTAAATTTCGAAAAACAGTAAAATGCTTCAAAATAAATTCTGAAAACATTCTAGGAACAAATCGAGCCCACTGAATACACAGTGTGTTCTTAAGGAAATTATTCCCCTCAAGTACCCGAGGTTCTGGAATATATCCTCCCAGGATAGAACGATTTAACTCGCCAGTGTATCGGTACCTAAAACTCTGGTGATCGGCAAACCACTCGATGGTCGTAAAATACACTGGAATATTTTGTGCAGAAGAAGAAGAAGATTCAGAAAATTTAGTAAGTAAATATTCTGGGATTTGAAGGTCTATTTATAGCCAACTTGGTGATGTTTCTGAAGAGGTTTGCAACCTTTCAGAATAGTCATGACTGTTGGAACAGGTGTGACCCTCCGAAGAGGTTTGCAACCTTTCAGAACAGTCATGGCTGTTGGAACAGGTGTGACCCTCTGAAGAGGTTTCCAGCCTTTCAGAATAGTCATGGCTATTGGAAATTTATTGCGGGAAATTTAAAACGAATTTAAATTAATCCGAAAAAGAAAACCGGGCTAGACCGGACCGGGTCGCGGGTCATCCCTCCATTTCTTTTCCCACCATTTTCCGTTCACACCTCTTTTGTTATTATTTATTAAATAACAAACCCAACAACTGTTTCTTTTCATTTATCTCTCTTTTATTCTTTGGTCATTTTGAAATTTATCTCTCTACTAATTAGAAGAACAAGAAGAAAAGGTAGATTTAGGGTGTGTTTGGGGAAAATATTTCTTGAAAAACAAGTAGTAATCTTGCTTATTTTCCGGTATATGGTACGCAAATTAAGAAAAATAAATTCTCAAGAATATTCATAAATAATTTAGATACAATAAACATGAAGCCATAAACTTTCGAACCAACAACGTAACCTTCAGAACCCACAAATTTTCTAAACTTCTGAACAGCTAAACTTTCGAACCCGTAAAATCTATAATTTCTAAACCCGCAAACTTTCAAACACATAAACCTTCGAACTCATAACTTTGGAACTTGTAAAATTTCTAACCTGTAAACTGAAAAATAAAAAATCGGAACTGAAAACAAAAAAAATTGCCCGGGGGGGGGGGGGGGGGAGTGGTACGGGACGTAGGGTGGTCGAAAAACCGAA